CCTGAACCTTCAGCTGCTGCTTATCATGACCAAGCTACTACTATGCAGACTGGGGGGAACTTTTCTGGAATGAATTCAGGTGGTTTTTCTACTGCGCGAAAGAGAGCGTATCGCCGGGCCAGGAACAGAGCGGCACGAAATGGTGGGACCTGGTATCGGGGTGCTTGGCGTACAGCTGCATCCATGGGTGTTGTTCCTGCTGAGCCTCAGCGAGTGGCCTCAGCAATGCAAACTTCAGCCAGCGCTGGCGGTCGTCAACCGCGCGTGCGCATTGTCACGTACAACGTTGGCGGGTTGTCGGCTGAATTATACGACATCCTATTGGATTGGCTGCATAAAGATTGCCGGGCGCAAATAGTAGTATTACAAGAAACGCATTGGGGACTTGGCCGTAATGACGGTAGCTGGACTGCAGGCCGGTGGCATTTCACAGCCACGGCGGATCCTGCAAAGCGCCATGCAGGTGTCTGTATTTGCGTCTCAGACTCCATTGCTGCTACATCCGACCAGCTGCTTCGACAGTCGTGGGTTCCAGGACGATTGCTGCACGTTCGCATTAAAGGACTTCGCTTTTCTGTTGATGTTATTGGGGTTTACCAGTGGGTTCAGAAGGATAGCAAGGGTGAGCCGGGCTCTGATGGTGTCGAAGATAAGCCACGACTACGATTGTGGACACAACTGGGGCGTCTCTTGGCGGCCCTGCCTGTTAGGAATGTTCTCCTTTTAGCTGGTGATCTGAACTCTGGATGCGTTCGTTATGGCAGCAACGTTGGCTCCGGTGTCCTCTCGGGCAAACGGCCCGTCGATGAGGACCTCCAGCAACTGCTCCGACAACACAATCTGTGTGTTCTAAATACCTGGGGAAGGGCTCGAGCAGGTCATTGTGCCACGTTTATCAACGGCTGTACTCGAACACAGATTGACTTCGTGTGTACAAAGCTGAGACATGCCGATCCGCAGGCGAGGACAGCATCACCGATGGAGCTGAACTTAGCCCCGTGGCGACTGGGTCCGCGACACAGACCTGTTAGGGCGAGTGTACCGTGGATCGGGGGTTGGGAGAGACGAAGGCGAACGGGAGCAACTTCGGAATATGGCTACTCGATACAGGCACTGCGTGATTCTTGTGCACAGAATGATACCCGTTGGCGTCAGTTCAATGATGCCGTGCGTACGACCATTAGCCACATGTCGCCAGGCTTCACTGTTGGTCAACTGAATGATGTGATTCTGCCTTTGTGCGGCCAGTTTTTCCCGAATCGGGCGAAGCCGGCCCCGCAGCCGGTGTTCAGCTCTGTGCCAGTGCAGCAAGCTCTCGGTGCTATGAAGCACAGTCTTGATAGGCTTCGTCAGCATCGGTCTGAGGTAGGCGGCCGTCGGTCGCTGCGTGTTTGGCAAAGCTGGAAGGATTATCGTGCGTCATGCAAACACTTACGCAAAGCTAGTCTGCAAGCACGCAAACAGCGCATCTACGACCTTATCGATCAGGCCGCACAAGCCTGCACCAGAGACCAGATGAGCGAAGTTTATCGGGTCATGCATAAGCTTGCGCCGCGCCAGCGCAGGGAGCGCGTCAGTGTCCGCTCCCAGGACGGACACTTCCTTGACGACAAGGCACAGTTCGAGTCTATTCTACAGTACTTTAAAGGCGCCTTTGATAGTCCAGAGACCTTCCAGTCCCCGGTGGTATCCACTATTCTTGAACTCTCCACGGACGAACTCGCTACGGCCATTGCTCAGTTTAAGACACGTAAATCGGTGCCGAAAAGCAGTCTCCCAGCGGAGGTGTGGCAAGCGCACACAGATGTGTTTGCTGAGTGTTTGCATAACACTTATATGCAAGGCGTGTCAAAGCATCCACCGGACTTGCCGGGTGAGATAACCAACTGCAGCCTTGCTCTCCTCCCTAAACCCAATAAAAAGTCGCGGCTCCCTAAGGACCTCCGCCCCCTTGGGGTGCAAGACCCTGCCTCTAAAGCCGTGGCGATAGCCCTCCGACATAGGCTTGTCCCCGAAGTTGAGCAGCTGTTGGATGCTATGCCACAATTCGCTTATTGCAAAGGCAAGTCTATTGATGAGGCTATCTGTCGTGTAGTCGCACACTGCCGTGAGGTGAGACAATGTCTCAAGGACGGTGTCGCGTCGGTGCATTCCAAGCGTGCTGGGGTTAAGACTAGTGTTTGCTATGGGGGAGTCATGGTAGGATTGGATATGAGTAGAGCCTTTGATTGCCTCACCAGGACCACGCTCCTCAAATCCCTGCAGCATGCAGGAGTCTCCCCAGAATTGCAATACATTCTGCTTGAACTACACCAGCAGTGCCAATATGAGCTTACGCACCTCAAACGACGGGGCACCTTCCGCCTGGGCCGTGGCGTCAGACAGGGCTGTGCAGTTTCTCCGCTGCTCTACAGTCTCTTCACTGTTTGGCTACTGGCAGAGCTGGGTAACACTACAGATGTCTCGTGGGCCCAACGGCAGGTCACGTGCTTTGCCGATGACAGTCATCTAGCATGGAGGGTGGAGAAACTTAGCGACCTTGACTTCGTTTGCCGGTCACTTCGAGCTGTGTTTCGCCTGTTGCGGGCCAGTGGGATGACCATCAACTCAGACAAATCGTCTTTGGTACTCGGCCTTCGGGGCAATTCGGCTAGGCGCTGGGTTAAAGCTCATACGGTTCAGGCCTTTGGCAAGAAGTGCATTAACTTTGGTCTCCCAGGGAAACCGCTGCTTCTGCCAGTTGTTGACTCGTTCGTTTATCTGAGGATTGTGGTGTCTTATAAACAGTTTGAACAGCAGTCATTGTCGCATAGACAGCGCATTGCTGCTAGCGCCAGGGCTAGGTTGATCAAGATTCTTCATAGTCGCCAGCTCCCGGTCTCTAGGCGCACGTGCTTGTATCAGGCATGTGTACGCAGCACGCTTCTCTACGGGCTGCATGCTGTTGGTGTCAGCGGTGTCATGATTGATCAATTAGAGGCCACTGATGCTAAATATCTCAGGGGCATTGCGCGCAGCCCAGCACATCTCACGCACGAAACCACTGTTGCCTTGAGGAGGCGCCTCCGCATATGCAGTCCGACGGAGGCACTGTGTCAACTGCTGAAACGCAGAATATTGCGCAGCCAGCAGGAGGCGGCAGTCTGTGATATGCGTCGCACGCTTTTGCTCATCGAGGCGCCTGTACAGGGAGATTCGGCTAGTGACCCCAAGGGTGTCATGCTGCCCTGTACCCTTACTGAACGAGTTGCCTGTCCCACGTGTGGTCAGTATTTCGGTAGTGTTCGCATTATGCACACGCACCATACCAAACAACATGGACCGTTGCCCAAGCCGAACCTCAAGCCTACG